TGCTGTCAAAAGTAATGAAATAAAAAAAACTGCGGGAGTCACTGATAAGCATCGTCTACACCGGGCCACGGTTGAAAGAAAAGCTGGGGGCGTTAAATGGCACTATAGAGATGCAGAGGAAAACATTTCCCCAATATTGACCTCGTGCTAGCTCACTAAAATAGTGTATCATCGAATATCACTAAATTAAACCTCACGGTTAAGAAAGTTGCTCCCATTAGATGTCGCTAATGTCGAAAATTTGCGTTGGATATTTTGTGAAAACTGTGAAAGGCAAGGAAATTTTGGTTTTCATTTTCCAATTTCGTGAAAAACCGGTACGTTTCTTTTAGATTGCGATGGCTCAGATGGTTGGTTTCAGTTGGCCGAAGACCTGAGCTAAACAAGTGTGTCTCTTATTTATACCTGATCGTACCTTTTTGGTACGCTTCAGCGGCTATCAGAAGAGTTTGGTCGAGCCATGGTTCGTATTTTGGCGAGACCAAACGAGCCTTATAGGCCGCCGAAGCGTACCAAAAAGGTAAAATTAGGTATTTACCGTACCCAAATTTAGCCTGCGAACAGGCTCCCGGTGAGCCCCAACATGTCCCCGCCCCGATCGMTTCGCTCTCCGAATTCCTCTTTTTCGCGCTTGCCGAAATTTTTTTCCGTCCTCGCCGATAGCCTGTTCGCAGGCTAACCCAAATTCGGCCAAGTGAGCATGATATCGTAGCCATATCAGGTCAATGACTTGATATCGCGGGATATCAGGACAGTACATACTGCTTCTGATTGGCTAATTGCGAATTTGGGTACGGTAATTACAGTGAAATCCCGATTTCTCGAACCCTCAGTTTTTCGAACCGAGCAATAACTCGGACAAAAAGTCGTTTCCCCTCCTCAGTGAAACGCTGTAATTTTATCCCTGATTTCTTGAACTATCCGCTTTTTCGAACAATTTTCGTTTCCCTTGGAGGTTCGAAAAATCGATATTCCACTGCACATATCTCATAACGACGATCATTCAACATGTTCGTTACGATAAAGTTATCTGATTGTCAATGTAATAACTGAAACAAATTCTGTTCAATCTTTTCAAAATTTTTATCGCTTGGAAATAAGCCCAATATGTATGGGTT